GTATGTTGTTCAGGGTTCTTCTACCACAGTTGGGACACTCATACACTGCTGGTGGGACCACAAACTAGTGCAACCTCTGTGGAAAGCACTATGGAGACACCTTAAAGAGATACAAGTAGAGCTACCATTTGATCCAGCAATCCCATTACTGGGCATCTACCCAAAAGAACAAAAGACATTCTATAAAAAAGACATCTGCACTCAAATGTTTATAGCAGCACAATTCACAATTGCAAAGATGTGGAAACAACCCAAGTGTCCATCAATACATGAGTGGATTAATAAAATATGGTATACGTATACCATGGAGTACTATTCAGCTTTAAGAAACAGTGGTGATATAGCACCTCTTCTATTATCCTGGATAGAGCTGGAACGCATTCCATTAAGTGAAGTATCCCAAGAATGGAAAAACAAGCACCACATGTACTCACCAGCAAATTGGTATTAACTGATCAACACATAACTGCACATATAGGAATAACATTTATCGGGCATCAGGCAGATGGGGGGAAGGGGATGGGTATATGCACACCTAACGGGTGCGATGCGCACTGTCTGGGGGATGGACACGCTTGAAGCTCTGACTGGGGAGGCGGGCAAGGGCAATATATGTAACCTAAACATCTGTACCCCCATAATATGCTGAAATAAAAAAAAAACATGGCTATGGTGAAATCTTCTCGGACCTGTCACCAATTCTGGCCCCTTTCCTGCCCACGTCCTCAGCTGCTCTGAATCCTTCCCTGCCTTTCCCTGTTTGTTTATATGCACGCATTACATGTGGTATTATTTTATGTGGTTTGTCTACATAGTCATCTCATATGTAATGTTCTGCAGCTTACTTTTTTATTCAACAATAAGTAGCTTTTCCTACATATTTTCCTACATTTTCTTCCTCTCTGGGCCTGATAATTTAAAAGGACTTGCATTCCTTAGATAGATAAGTTCTTTTCTTTTCTCAACTTGTCTGCCTGTATATTTATGTCCATCTTTATGTCATATAATACATGATATATTCTTACCTCTGGATGGTACTGCCAAAATCAATTTATAAAATCCTTCAAAGTTCTAGTTTAATTGGCTTAGAAAAAATAAACACTTAAATTATTTCTGAAACTCTCAGCAATATAGGAACTAACAAACATTTTTTAAGTTCACTTGATCTAGAATAATTTTTGGTAGATAAGCCTAGTGTAAAATTGTTGTTTTAATAAAAACAACAGCAGCAAGAGGTACGCTTTCAAAGTCGTCAGCATTGAATATAATGCAGACGTACAATTTTTATTCTACCTGGGTTAACTAGTCAAATAAGTGTTAGGCTTAAAATATTCACCCTCCCCAAACTTCCATCTAAATCTCCTATAAAACCCACTGCTCTCTACTGTATTAGGCAGTAGTCTGTGCCAGACCACTGGGGAGATAAAAGAATGAAATGGAAAAGGGGAACTTACTCTCCTTATCTCTCAAGGTTGTTTGGGAAGAATTGGTTTACTCCTCCCAGAAAAACCCTCTGTAAAACCCCAGGCTCTCCCTTTTTCTCTGGTGGACGCTCTTTGGCCTCCACCCTTCTGCACCCAGCTGCTCAAAATAAACAGCATTTTGCTACACATGAGGCTTTGTGTGTCTCTCTCGGCTCTGGACCTAAAAATAAGCTTATGTTATCTCTATAGGTGTTTGAGATTTTTAAATTATAAATTCAACCTACAAAAGAAATGTACAGTAAAAATGAACTGATGTATGTCAGGCATGGCAGTAGGAAAAAAAGGAAGAGCCATATGTTTAACTTTTTAGGCTCTTTGCTTCTGCGATATTTGGTACGTGGCTAACATGCATATGCTACAAAATTTGTCAACAAGAAAACACCTTAAGATGATGGGTAGCCCCGTTTAATGAATAGCAAAGTTTTCATAAACAGTCAAAACATAATTGTCAGGAACATGAGAATTAAATAAATGTAAGTGGGATATGAGTTTATAAATAAAATTTTAAGGATGATTATGTCTGCCTAAAAGTTGTTTCCAAAATCTTTTTGGTAACAAAGATAAGCTAAATGTTAGATATTCACTAAATATCCAGGAACATTTCCAAATAAGATAAAATACTGAAACATTAATTACTGAACATAAATTTACCTACTTTTGGCTTCTTATTTTTACAGAGACTAAAGATACTGAAATATGTTAGTAAACATTTTCTTTTGCCACACTGAGAAATTGTGCTATTGAAGAAGCCTTGCCTCTAGAAATAATGGAGTATTCGTAAATATGCTAATCTACCGCACAATGCTGGTATGGGACAGTTCACAACTGTCCACTTCCTCATTTTCCCTGGAAATAAAGGTTACTCAGGGTTAGGAATTTTAATTACTACATGTAAATTAAACTGTCAGGTTGACAGTTCTCTGTTCTTGGTTCTTGGTGTGCTCATGGCCAAAGAATGACCAGACACACCAAAAGCAAGGCAATCATGAAACGAGGTTTATTGAGGAAGGGCAGGATAGGTTTACAGAGCAAGAGCAAGATACATCACGCGTCACAGAAGACAAATGAGCCCCTGTCATAACAAGAGGCTCTGGGTATGGTCTGGAGTCATGTTTTATAGATGTCACCACTGAACCACTTTGATGGACAGTTAATGACATGAGAATTAGCCTCAGGTTACTCTAGGTCACTTCCAAATCCTACTGTGCCCGGGCTGCCTGGGACCGGGGCATTCCCTGCATTCTTTTGCAGATTGGCAGGCGTTCCTCCTTCTCCCAGGTGTGGCAATTGCTTAGGACAGGACCAAGAGTGGGGCGGCACCAGGACGGGGCACCCGTCCTTGTCCTTCTTTCCAGGTGTGGCAATTGCCTGAGATAGCACCAAGGTAGGGCACCTGCCTTTGTCCCTGGGAAAGCCCGAATCCCTCACCAGCCACCTAAAGTTTCTACTAGGAATAGTACGGTGGGAAGGAAACTGTTTGCAAAATATGCAAGGAAAGTAGGATGTTTTCAGTAAGGAAAAGTATTGTGACGCAGTACTTCTTAAATCAATTCAGATCACTGTGAAACAACACTTAACGTTACTTATCTATTTAACAAAGGGACAATAAAAAATTTCAAACATAAATAATGGGGAAACTTCCCCTTTGCTCCCAGAAGTTTCACTGAAAGATCAACTCACAATAAGGCAGATTAATGAGAGAAAGGGGTTACAACTTTATTTACTGTGCACACACGCGGAATCACAGAGTGGTTACTCAGTACCCCAGTGGGGTCCAGAAGTTTACATACCCTCATTTTGGAGGGCAGTGGGAGATGAGGAGTACAGGTAATTCTGTTGAGGGGCAATAAATGGTTGCTAGGGAGGATGAATGGATACTCGGGAGAATGAATGGATGGGGGAAACAGATTACTTGTAAATGATTCTCTTTGGAAATTAAATGAACCCGAGAGACAGGTATTATTTTTCAAATGGATTGGGCCAGGTCCGGTTGCATTCTTGATCTTGCTTCCTGCAGTGGATATTGAGGTAATGGGGGCCGGCGGGGAGGAGGAAAGATAATTGTTTTCCCAGGTGGGTCTGGATCTCAGGCAGACAAAGAAACTTCGGGAGAGCTGATGATGGATGACGGGGAGGGGAGGTCTTTCCGTCAATCCGGTGTGTCAGAATGCCATGTTCTGGGATAAAACATCTCTGATTTCCTTCAGTATACACGGTGTGAAGCACGTACTCCGAAGGAGAGCAGTTTCGTCCTAAAGTGGCGCCTGAATGGAGGCGGCAAGTTGCAAAGGGTCTTTGAGGAAAAAAAGGGAGCAGAGGGAATCTCACGTCACGCTAAGATTTAATGGATTTATTATAAGAGTTTAAAATGAGCTTTAATTACGCACACACAGTGAAGTATTATCGAGGCTTAAAAAAGAAGAAAACCCTGTCACGGGCAACATCATGCATGGCCACGGCTGTTGGTACTTTCCCACGCGTCGTCCCGTGACTCCCTCCCGATGGCCCTGAGGGAGGCCGGCCAGGCCCACCTCGCCCATTTCCCTGGGGACCACAGAGAGGTGGTGTGACTTTCTCAGGGTCACACAGCCCCTTGAACATGTTTCCCGACTCCTGGTCTGTCTGGACAATGACACGGACACACTAGGACAAAGGTTCTACCTTTTATCAGGGATTGGATTATAAAGGCACTAGAACATCTGACAACTCCTGTCCACAAGGCGCTTTGAGTGAACTGTGGAAATAAAGGCAAAAAATCAGGGGGAAGCATTTGCAAGCCTGTGAGTGGGCATCCGAAGGAACGGCCTCACCAAAGATCAGGTGAGCGCCGCTTGGTACCGGGAGCCATTGCGCTGACCCTGCCGGTCACAGAAGCGAGCAGCCCGGCCGTTTCCCGGAGGCTCACTGGCGCGGAGGGCGAGGCCAGCCCGGAGTCCGGAGGGAGCCTGTGCCCTGCCCTGGCTCCGGCTCTGCCCCGTTCCCCGAGGCCGGCTCTGCTCCTCCTGAAGCCGCGGCGATGACGCTCGCGCCAGCAGCTCCCCAAGTCAGCCCCGGTCCCCGACCAGGCGAGTGTGGGGCAGGCCGTAAGACATTTAAGAACCAAGAAACATTCCACGAAGAATGAGCCTTTTATCTCAAAACGCACTTGGAAGAATTTAAGGAATTTCTTGCACATCTGTATAGAAGAGCTGTTCTGAGTATATTCTGAGAAAATAAAAACTCATAAATCTAGGGGGCGGCGGGGGAGGGAGGAGGGGACGGGTATTTGCATACACAAAGAGTGCAATGCGCACCACCCGAAGGATGGACATATTTGAAACTCGGACTTAGGGGGGAAGGAGGGGACAAGGGCAACATATGTAACCTAAACATCTGTACCCCTATAATATGCTGAAATAAAAAAAAAAACTCATAAATCTAAGCCTAAAGGGGTAATTAGCAATTTGGAGAAATTTGAGCATACGTTTTCAACTCTCATTTAAAAAACCCACACTATTTATTGAAAAGTCCTATTAAACAAAATTTGTGCAAACAGAGCAGTAAGATGACAAATCAAGCTATTTCCAGAGACGAAAGAAAAACCAGTCTCCTCGAGGGTGCCTGTGGCCGAGTGGCTGGAACTATCTGGTGGCTTGGAAAGACAGGGCACTTGGGCAGGTACTGGATCGGCTGTTTCTTCAAAGGCAAAACTATTACAAAACGTGGCAAGACACAGTGCTCACTCAGGAGTGAACCTGTGGAAATATGCAAAAAGTTAATTAAAAACAAGATTTATTGACTTTCACAGATGGAAAACACAGACTTCTCTATTCCCGACAGTAACACTGGCCAGGCAGAGGGAAAGCGGCTGGAAAGAGCCTGGAGATCTTCGATACACGAACGTCACAGGTACCCTGGGGGCCTCGGTCTCCTTGAATGACTTGCCCATGGTCACATGGCTAATCAGCATAGAGCCAAACCTGAACTCAGACCGAGAATTCTGATCCTTGTCCAGCTACACTTCTATAGATTCATTCTCTCTTTTTTTTGAGACAGAGTCTCACTCTTTTGCCTGGGCTAGAGTGCCGTGGCATCAGCCTAGCTCACAGCAACCTCAGACTCCTGGGCTCAAGCAATCCTCCTGCCTCAGCCTCCCGAGTAGCTGGGACTACAGGCATGTGCCACCATGCCTGGTTAATTTTTTTTTTCTATATATTTTTAGTTGTCCGATTAATTTCTATTTTTAGTAGAGACGGGGTCTCGCTCTTGCTCAGGCTGGTCTCGAACTCCTGAGCTCAAACGATCCGCCCGCCTCGGCCTCCCAGAGAGCTAGGATTACAGGCGTGAGCCACCGCGCCCGGCCAGATTCATTCTCTCTTGAATATTCTTTTCCTAATCTTTAAGCATTCAAAATTTATGGTCGATGTTTCAAAATCCCAAGTGTATGCCTAAAAGACACTATGTTCAAAATGTCGAACGTTATCATATTTTGGTATTGCTTTTAAATTTCTCCTTTTCCTTCTAACACATGCAGCTTTCAAAGAAGGCGCCCTCATACTTCATTTTCATGGTATCTTCACTGTCTTAAGTAGTTCACTCAAGGCAGGAAATAAAATGGCTAAAGACTGGGGACACGTAAATATAGAGACTCATATTTAGGAAAAATACTTTTAAACTGTTACACTGTCAGAGTGCTGACACACTCCCAGCACCACCGAAGTGAGCACGGGGGAGCCGCCAGCGCGGACGGCAGCGAACACCCCGGGCCGCCTGGCGTGGCGTTTCCGTCGTGGGGACTGAGGGCAGGCGGTTCTGCTCGCTGCACCCGACACATATCTGGCGTGGACACGATCACTCAGGGGCCACGGGACAACTGTATTTCAAGCACAACCCTTAACACAGCATTCACTTTTGCCCTGGGGCGTCTGTGAAGCCTGCGGCCTCTTGGATCTGCAGCCCAGCAAGCGGGGCCGAGCCCTCCCCCAGGCCTCCCAGCGATGGGAGACTCCCCACCCTCGCACACCCTGAGCGTCTACGTCCAAGTTCCTGCGCGCCGCGTCCAGCTCCCGAAGAGCGAAGCCGGCCACTGTGAAGACGGCAGCGGAGGCTCCCCAGGGTGACACAGCGTTCAGGGGAGGAGCTCACGGAACAATTTTAAAAAGCAATCATGACCTTTTCCTATGGAAAATGCAGCAAAGTATGAACCTACACGACTTAGAGACTCGTACCTCACTTGGACACACCACCTCTTCTAACACGCGTGTGAGAGCTCCCCGGGTCAGTTATTCTATCATCTGAGCCCCGAAACCTCCCCAGCCCCGTCCTGCTCCTTCCCCCACCAGAAACCTACACAGCTCACGCCCCTCCGCTGGAATAACTGTTTTCATTTCATTTATATCGCTAATCTTCAAAATTTGTCACAACTAACGTCACTGGGAAAATCGAATCCAAGTTCTCACATATTTTGGTTGCCCCAAATTAATTTGAACCTGGCTTTAACATATAACATATATGTCGCACACATGCGCACACAGGATTCTGTGGGAAGGATGAAGACGGTGTCGGCTGGAGGTGTCCAGGCAGTCCCCACACTCTTGAACTTCAGCACTGCTGAGTGCACAGACGGTGTCTCTCTGCCTGTGACCCGGGGCTCCAGAAGTAGCAACACACGACACGGCTCCCACAGAGCAAGGCAGGCACTTGGAAGAATTTCTGCTGGCTTCTGGAAAAGGCTAAGGCACCAGTGGCCCTGAGGTCCCCAGCAAGTCGTTCCACACCAGGCAGGATCTGCCCAATTCACAGCTGTGCCAGGCGCAGGGCAGTGGCCAGGCTGGCACACATTTCTCTGTGTGTGACGGAGAAGCAGGATAAAGACTGGGAAGGAGGCGGCAGCCCGAGACATCGGGATTAGGGGCAGCAGAAAACTCCTTTCATGCTGTCCTAGAGTTACTTTAGCAGAAACAGAACCCAGAAGAAGATGCTCTGCCACTCTCTGCCTGCTCACCCCGGTTCTGTTTGTGACACACCTGTGGAGCGCCCGTCCCAAGTGTCCTGGATGTGCACTGCGTGGAGCTGGGACCCGCAGCTGGATACCTGGGTGATCTGGTTCTCGAATTCACCTGGGGAAGCTCGCGGTGGAAGGTTCTGGGTGCTGGTGAAGTGCTCACATCTACTGAGTGCCAGTGACATGCAGGGCACTGGCCAGGTCTTCACGCGCCCCCCATTCAGTGCCCTCTGCACCTGTCAGGAGGCAGCAGCTGAGAGCAGGCGGCCTGGCCTCCGGGCGGTGGGAGGAGCCGGCGCTTCCAGCCAGCTCCAACAGACGCCCGCCCAGCCCGCGGCTGCCCCCTCACTCCTTCCCTGTGTGAGGCCTTCCCTTTAGGGCTGCCCTTATGGAGTCAGAGTGTCACAGAATTGTCCGCAACGCTAGGACTCCAATCCGGCTCCACTGTGTGACAACAGGCGCGTAACTTGCTCCGGCCCTGCCTGGCCCGGGCTGGGTCCTCCCGACCCTGCTCCACGCTGCCTGGTCCCATCGCACAGTGGTTGCCGCATGGGCAAGACTGCTACAGGGAATCTTTGAAGACTGGAGACTGGAAACAAAACAGGGAATAACGCAGATTCCGTAAAATAGACCGACATAAAATAAACCAAGATTTCAGATTATTAAGAGTCACTCTGCGTGGTGCTACCCAACAGAACACTCTGAGACGATGAAGTATCTGCACTTTCTCTGCACTGCCCGGCATGGCAGCCACCAGCTACATGTGAGAACTGAGTACAGGAAATGTGGCCAGAGCCACCAAGGAACTGAGAGCTTTTAAGTTTAATTTCATTTTAATTAATTCAACTTTATGTAGCTGCACGTGGCTAGTGGCTGTTGTGTTAGCACAGCCCTATAAGCCTGGATTTCGGCAAGACCTCTGGCAGGATCTCCTGCCATCCTCTGGCAGTGCAGTGAGCCGGCTGCAGCACAGTGACTGTGGCCACCCTCAGAGGTGGCCGAGGACCCATGAGCAGCGGGAGAGCTCTTGGGTGAGGTGCTGAAGGACTCAGCGCTTCTCTGGATCCGCCGCCGTTCCCCCGATTTGAATGAGAGCTGTTGACGGCAGGCTGAGCAAACGTGAAGATAAGAAGCTCCCAGAGATGGGCACCGGGCTGGAAGGGAGCACCAGGGTCCAAGGAGACCCCGACAGCTGCGGCATGGGTAGCGGGAATGAGGTGACACAGCGAGGACAAAACAGGTGTCCCGCCAGGGCTTTACCACCCAGCTGAGCAAGGCCCGTGGCGGAGTGTGCCTCAGCAGCTGTGCGCTCGGGGCTCCGGCCAAACCAAGGGCTTCCACAGGGTGACACACATGACCAAGGGGCAGAAGGGAACCTGCGCTGGCTCAGCAGAGGACAGGGCGGCGGCACGCTCCTCAGTGACTGCGGGATGGCACGCCCAGGCGGAGGGGTCGCCCGCGGTGCCCGGGGAGGGGACAGAGCTGCATAACCTGGGGGACAGTGGTGGCGAGAGGGTCACTGTTCCTCAAACACCAGCTATTCACGGACCTGACAGTCAAAATCAGAACAGAGACGGACGTTATCATGGAACATTCTAACAATGTGGAAGACCTCAGTGTGGGGTGGGCGGTCTCTGGAAGAATAATCCGTCTCCACTGGGGGATCGACGAGAGGCGGGACGTGGTCAGGAAGGTGCGGGAGACCCAAGGCTCGGAGGGCCCCCCCCCCCCCCAAACCCGGGCCCCAACCAAAACGAATCCCGCCCCAACGGCCCCCAAGCCCAAAAAAAAACCAAAGCCCCAAAGCCCCCGGGCCGGCCGGGCCCCCCCGGCCAACCCAACCGGAACAAAAAAAGAAAACCCCTCCTTTAGACAGTAAATTTATCAAAAAGCAGCCGGGGGAAGCGGAGGCAAGGCGTCAGGGCATTGTGTTCCCAAAGAATCCTCCTCCGTGGAATCCCTCTCGGATTGTCCCCGGGCAGTGACCGGGCCTCTGTGGCCGGCCCAGGACGGCTGAGGCCAGGGTGCCCGAGTGGCCCGAGCGCCTGCAGCAGGGTCGCGTGGCCGGCCAGGGCTGACAAAAGCGACGGGGTTATGTTAGGGCCGCCCTCCGCCGTTGGCGGTGAGGAGCCAGACCGCAGCCGCCAGGGAGACGCCCGAACACCCTGCACAGGTTGGCGGCAAACTAGGAAGATGAGAGGAAACCTCAAGAGTAGGTTGGAATTTTCTCTGTCTTGAGACCGACCTTCCCAATTCTCACACTGCAGAAAGGATACCTGGCTGTTAATAGGCTCGTTGGGATGAGTCTCATCGGGAATCTGCTTCCTGACGAGAAACAACCAAGGCCCAGAAAATAGGGTGCAACTTTCCCCTGTTAACTGGATCACGAGAACAGCGTTTCAGAGGTTTGTTTCTGGGCTGTTAGTTTTCCTTCAGTCGGTCCCCCGTCTTAGACTTTGAGCACTGACACGACAATTACTGAAGCCGCTGCAGAGTGCTTATCCAAGGCGGCCAGCGTCGCACACGGTCAACCTTGGCTTTCGCAGGCAGCCCCTCCCGGACAGCCTGCGCCTGCAGCCGCGGGCTCATGGGAAGCAGCTCCCACGGTGGCACAGGCGGCCAGGGTGCACTCTGGCTCTGCTCGACTGCACTCGAGTGGCACGGGGGCCTGGGAACGAGCCTGCGTGACTGCAGTCCTAAAGCCTATACCTGAGATTCGTATTCTGGAAAGAATCAAGGTTGGATTATCAACACGCATTTCGTAGGAGATTCGGGCTCTGGCTGACGGAGGAACGTGTACTAACCTGAAAAGGTACACGCGGTTACAGAGAGAAACCAGCTAAACACCAAATCCCGGTGAAAGAGAAGCGGATTTAAAAGGCCTGCCGCACACTTTAGCAGGACATTTCCCTCCGGGGTAGCAGGGAGCAAAGCCTGAGACGCTGGCCCGGAGCGCAGCACCTCTCCCCAGGGAGCCCCGCAGCACCCCACGGAGGCCTTCCGAGTCGCTCTGCTGTCTGCCGCTGTCACTTCTCATCGTCCCGCCCATAGTTAATAGTCTGCAAGGCCTGAGCTATGAGCATTGCCATCTCTCGGGTGCCGGCAGCAACCACTCTGCAAGACATGAGGTCGAGGGGTCCACCTGGGGAAGACAGGGGGAGAGAGCCGGGTCCCGGGTTACTGGAAAGGGCCGGACAATCTTGCGTAACAACTTACCGCACACGCGCCACAGAAAACAGCGCCCGGGGCCATGCCGAGTCCCAGTGCCTGCAGCAAACCGGTGGGCTAGGAGCGAGCCCAGCAAGGAAGAGAGGGACGGGGCCTGTCACCTCCCACCCGTCCAGGGCTGTACAGACCAACGAGTCCCGAAGCTGCCGCCGTCTTAGAGACTACGCTGGGAGAACGTAAAGCGCGGTGCAAGGCCAGCGTGGTCAGACAGGAGGAGGAGCCATCCCTCCCTGCCCCGACTGTGCACGTGCGTCGGCCGGGCCTTGTGAATCCAGGGCTCTGACTCCGCAGTCTGGGCAGGGCTGAGCAGCCCGTCCACAGCCCCACGGGTGCCCCCTGCCTGGGAACCACACTCTGAGCAGCTGGGGGTAGACGATGCAGCCCTGCGTCTTCCTGGGGGTAGGAAACAGGACTGACCGCGTGACTGGAGACCTGCGCGCACACGCTCGAGCCTCCAGGTGCTCGTGGTAGAATCCAGAGCGCTGGGGGCCTTTAAAATGTGAAACGTGCCCACTTAGCCCACTGCGGCTCACATCTCTTCATTTTTATACCTTTCTGTTAGCGCAACCAGGGTCCTTCAAAGGAGAAATAGGAAAAAGGAGAACTCTAACTTCAAATGATCCACTTTCGTACCCAATAGTTAAGCGTGGGCCACAGCATTTCTGCAACAAGCTCTGGGCTGAGAGCCAGGGGAGAACGGGTCTGGCCAGACCCACCCGGCCTCTGACTCTCCTCCGGTCTGTCTGAAGTAAGCGGACACGGTAGGGAGCGTGACGTAGGGGCTCACTCGTGCTCCCGGGCCAGTCACTGGGACTCGTGTGACCTCAACGCAGAGGACTAGGCCATCTTCCCGATCCACGCTCCTGAAACCCAGCAGGAGGCGAGTGCCCTGGACCGGTGCTGATCCAGCACCAAGCCGTGGGGTCGTGGGGAAGCACCTGACCTCAGATACCTGGGGGACACCACACCTGCTCTGTCTACCTCGATGGATTCTGTGGCATCTGGGTGTGTGTGGAAGCCCCTAGAAAACCGTTGACGGTGTGTGAGCGTGAAGTGCCACTGTTCTCCGGTCAAGCACCCTGATCCTGCAGCCTGGCGGGGTGGCGGGAAGGAGGCCAGGCCGAGGGGTGGGGTGGCACCGCCCTCATGGCGCCCTTGCACAGAAACTCTGGGGGGGGGGTTCAGTGTGATAGGGACCCCTGGAAGCGCCCCGCCCACGGCATCACTCAGTCTAGTTTCTGCAGCTGTGCCCGGGGACAGCGGGGCTCACCCGAAGTGTCCATCACAATGCCGCCTGCTTCTCTGATGATGACTGTGGCGGCTGCCAGGTCCCAGCAGTGCAGGCCAAACTGGTAGTACGCGTCGGCGGCGCCGGAGGCCAGGTGGCAGAGCGCCAAGGTGGAGCTTCCGATCACTCGGACCCTGCGGGAGAGGGAAGGAGGGCGGCCGCAGGTGGAGGTGGGGTTCTTCATGCAGCGTGCGGCCGACTTCACCCGTCACCCCGCCTGGCACGTAGCCTCAGAACCCTCGAGATGTGGCTAGTGCAGCGCAGACCTGAATTTCTTTTTTTTTTTTTTTGAGACAGAGTCTCACTCTTTTGCCCAGGCTAGAGTGAGTGCCGTGGCGTCAGCCTAGCTCACAGCAACCTCAAACTCCTGGGCTCAAGCGATCCTCCTGCCTCAGCCTCCCGAGTAGCTGGGACTACAGGCATGCGCCACCATGCCCGGCTAATTTTTTCTATATATTTTTAGTTGTCTGATTAATTTCTTTCTAATTTTAGTAGAGACGGGGTCTCGCTCTTGTTCAGGCTGGTTTCGAACTTCCTGAGCTCAAACAATCCACCCGCCTCGGCCTCCCAGAGAGCTAGGATTACAGGCGTGAGCCACCGCGCCCGGCCAAGACCTGAATTTCTAATTTCCTTGGGCTTGACTTTCAATGTGCTCACGGCACAGACCCGCAGGCAGGGTGAGCGACGAGGCTGGGCCGGAGTCACCATCGAGGGGCAAATCAGTGCACCATCTGTCTGAAGCCCGGGCCACTTAGGGACAGGACTCTAAGGACACGCAAGGTGCGCTGGCTGGGAGCCCCGAGATCATCTACGCAGATTCTTTAAACACCCATCGGAAGGGACACAGGTCCCGCAGCCACTGCAGCGCCGCGTCGCACGGAGGCCCGACCCGCCGCCCAGCTTCCCTGGGCCTGGTGTCGCCACGTGGCGCACTCGGCCCCCTCCTGCTCCTGCCACACAGGGGTGTCCTCGAAACCCTGGGGGTTTTTAGCAAGAGTGTGTTTGGTGCCTTCCCCTCTGGCCAGAGGTGCTCCGGAACTGAAAATCCGTACCCGTGAGCCTTGGCGTGGAGCAGCCGCTCCATGTTGCTCAGGAACAGTTTCAGAGTCGCAGGGTCACGCTTGGGGCCGATTTCCGTTAGCACCAAGGCCTTGGAGAGATCTGCAACAGAAAGAATTCCCATCGTCAGAAAAACCAACCGCGCAGTCGGGGTTTTTCCTGAGCAAACCTCACATGTGAGCCTTTCCTTCTAGAGTAAGGATCATTCAGGAGTGGTTTTTCCACAGAGCTTTCTGACAGCCACGTTGAAAAACAAGGACACGGTGGAGAGAAGAGCAAACTCCACGCTCGGACTGTTCCATCGTCACCCCCGTCAGACCGTCTGTTTCCGACGGCCGAGGGGCAGACTCCTCAGTTCTCCCTTTTCTGGGATACTTCGTCTTACACAGATGGCACGGAGACCTTGGAAGGATCTGGAGGCTTATGAAAATCACCATCATTCAATCACAAATAAAACCAAAACGACTCCAAATTGGCAACGCTCAATGTTTGGAGGAAAAAAAAAATGCCTCACTCTCTCACTGCTGTGATCACAAAGACGGAACTATATCCTTGGAGGAAGCAACTTTCGGTAACGTTGTCTTTGGAAAGGGAAGCTTCGACCCTCTGGACACAGCGGAGGCTGGCGCCTGTCATTTCTGGGCCCTCTCACGGCTCCCGCCGCAGGCGGTGTGCTGGGCACACGTTTACGTGACGGGCCGCGGCGCTGCCAGCCGCCAGGATGGGTGAGCTGGCTGGGGGCCAGGGACGTGCCTGGGACCGCGTCTCCGTCCCTGACTCACTGCTGGGGGACTGGCGTGGTTTGTCCCTGCTTTCCGCACACCCGAACACAGCCAAACCTCAGCGATGTCCCGTCAGGCCTCCCTGCTCAGGCAGGACGTAGCCAAACCAGGTGCGCTTAGGTGACAAGACAAAGCCACTCCACGAGGGAGGGAAAACCGCCTCTGTTAAGCTATTTCACTCAGGGGCCCAATTCCGTGTCACCGATTCTGAGTCACCCTCTTACCTAGGAAATCTCTCAGACTAAACCTGAGATGTTTGCCCCTCTGCTTCTACGGGAGCTCTCATTTAAAAAGAATCTGACACTATGTACGACACTAACTTTGTGGGGAAATTAATTCTGAATTATAATATTTTAGTTGAAAATGCCCCTTTGAAAGATAATGTATGGTAACTTGGGCAGTTCCTGTTAAATGAAAATTAAAAACAGAAATTGGACTCACCAAAGAGGAGAGACATATGGCCAGAAACCATACGAAAATATGGTCCACGTCACACGTCATGAGGGAGACGCAAGTTAACACAGCAAGGAGACACGACTACACAGCGTAAGAGTGGCCCAAACCCAGAACGCCGCCCACACCAGAGGCCGGCCAGGACGCGGAGCAGCAGGAACTCTCGTCCACTGCAACGCTTTGGAAAACTGAACACACTCCTGCCATAGGATTCGGCAGTGGTGCTCCCTGGCAGTCACCCAAAGGAGCTGAAAACTTACGTTTCCACACAAAAACCTATAAATGAACATTCATAGCAGCTTTATTTATTATTGCCACAACTCGGAAGCAATCGAGATGTCCTTCAGGACAGGAACAGTAAACTGTGGTCCATCGGAACAGCACAGTATCATTCAGCGCTAAAAGGAAACGAGCCATCAAGCCACGAAGACTCGGAGAAACCCTCAGTGCCTATTAGCAAGGGGGAGACGCCAGTGGGAAAAGCACGCACTGCGCAACTCCGACTGCGCGGCACGCTGGACAAGGCAAAACCGCGGAGACAGTGAAAAGATCGGCGGCTGCAGGGCTGGCGGGGAGGGGTGAACAGGGGAGCACAGGGGGACGTCAGGCAGTGAACTAGTCTGCACGGTGCTGCAGTGGCGGACGCGTCCTTTACACATTTGTCAAAAGAATGTGCAGCACAGCAGGAGTGAGCCTGAACGTAGCCACGGACGTGGGCGGTAACGATGTATCGGCGCAGGGTCCTCAGCTGAAACAACGCCGGCTGTGGGGGTGTTGCTGGCAGGGGACGCTGCATGGGTGGGAACCTGGGAACTTTCTCTCTGCACCCCGGCTCGATTTTTCTGTGAATTCAATAAAGCAGAAGGAAGACGGAAGAAAAGAGAAGAAAAGAAAAAACTGGATAGCTCGCATGTTATTTTAGCCAGGAAAATCAAGGGAGGATGAACTGTCCCAGAGGAGGCCATGCAGGGCAAAGGAAGTGCAGTGGCAGTGACATCCTGCCTAAGCCCACCCTATTTCTTTCCTTGTTTTCTTGAGACAGGGTCTTGCTCTGTTGCCCAGGCTAGAGTGCAGTGGCGTCATCATAGCTCACTGCAACCTTGAATTCCTGGGCTCAAGTGATCCTCCTGCCTCAGCCTCCCGAGTAGCTGGGACCACAGGCATGCGCCACCATGCCCAGCTAATTTTTCTATATTTTGAAGAGATGGAGTCTTGCTATGTTGTCCAGGCTGGTCTCCAACACCCAGATGCAAGCAATCCTCCCACCTCAGCCCCCAAAATGCTGGGATTACAGGTGTGAATCGTTGCACCCATGCACCCCCAATCCTATTTCTAATTTACTTCAGATCTTACACACACCCATACATGTACCCACAGTATTTTTTAAAAACATTTTTGTAGGTTATTCTGTTACTGTTTTGATATAAAAACATCTTGCATACGTCCTTTACCATCAGTACCTTGCTCTAATCGACTACATCCTATTCCATTCAGTGCAATTTATTTAACCATTGCCCTAGAGATGAACATTTTCCATTTTTCTTATAAACAATTCTAAAATAAATGTCTGTCTACATAGGTCTGTGTAGTCACATTGATTTTTTTAAAGATAGACTGATAGCAGTAGGATTTCTGAATCAAAGGGTGTATATATTTTAGGTTTTGATATAATTTTCCAAGCTGCCCCTGTGAAAAGCTGCATCAATTTTACACACCTTCCAGCAACCTCACCAGGGTATGAGGGACCCTGTACTATTTTCATGTCCCTAGCAAGTATCCCTTACTGCTGGATATATATTTAAGAGAGATTCTCTGAGAGATAAGATGAAGAGAATGAAGTCCGTACACACAGGGCGTTCCCTGGCTCCAGTCTCAACCACCCTGGGCAGATGTTAAGGAAGACACTGAAGATCCCCCCAGGAACTAGGAAGCTGAACGGTGAATTTCCACAGGGAGACAAGCACCTGCTCCTAACCAGGAACAGAAGACAGGACCCCTCGCCGAGGCCAAGGCCTGGCCCAGTCTCTGCACCTGAGAAGGGCTGACTGCAGGGTGAGTGGAGGGAAGTCGCGGGTGCCAGCCTGGGCAGGCAGACTCCTCCCGCCAGGCTGATGCAGGGAGGGCAGCCTGGAGTTAGGCAGCGTGAAGGTACGCAGGTGGCATGGACCAATGCGGGAGTACAAACCGCAACAGCGGAAACGGTGGGTTGGGGACTTTCCTTCCGCCAGGGCACGCGCAGAGGAATGGAGAACCTGTCAGCAGGTAACCTTTCTCCACTAGCATAGCAAAAATCACACCCCCAGCGCCATAAGAGTCTGGAGCCAGCCACACAAGGACAGAAAATGGGAGGGTACGTGACTCTGGGAATCTCCCCCCACTTCCCTGAAAGGACATGAATAGTCCACCCCCAGCTGAACATATTATTAGAGATTAGCATAAAGGGCGACCCTAACCCCGGGATGACACTCTCCCTCATTGGAGCAGCCCACTCTCCGCTGACCTGGAGACTGTACTACACTTTCTATACTCTGTCCTTAAACTCAGGGTCTTTTCCACTCATGGGACAGACCCGTTCCTCTCTCTGGAACTTACTTTCGATTTGCAATAAAAGCTGCGTGCGTGCAAGTGCTTTGTGTCTGTCTCCTCTCCAGCGCAGCCCAGCCTGCAGTTCTTCCAAGCACGGGACCGAAGAACCAGGATGAATCTCTCTCTAAACCAACCCCCACGCCAGGGCTACTTCGCAAAGGGAAGTTGAGTCGTGTGGAGGAAACTGCCATCTCTCACAGTTACCGCGTCCTGGCTCTCTCCCAGACAGCACGCCCAGCCCGTGTCACCAAGGTGAGGTGACCTGCTCGTGAGGTGGTGCCAGATCTAAACTCAGGCCAGATGCTGATTTTGTCAAAGAAAGGGGTTTGTTCCCCGTTTTCCAATTTGTGAAAGGATTGCTGTGCGTCCGGCACCTTCTTCTGGTTGCCATGAATTCATTCTTTCTTGTCCTTGCCCGCGTATTAATATTTTTTCCCCAGTGGAATCAAGAACAGAGTAAAGAGGAAGTCTGAGTGCTGCCACCTGTAGGCAAAATGCTTTCTACCGTTTTATGTTTCTTCACATAAGGAGAAAAAGGCAATTTATTACGATCTCTACTTAATACTGTCTTGTGATTATTTCTGACTGGTTTTCCACAATTACTATAATTTTTGCATTTTATTACCCTTTGTCCTATATTTACCACAACATTTTAGCTCTTAATCGAATACTTAAATGTTTTTAATTTAAAATATTCTGTGATTTCATGGGGGGACAGAGATATTCTATAATGGGTATGGCGTACATGTTTGAGATAATAATAAATTCGGAAACGCATAGTGGTGACGGTCACACAACACTGTGAAGGTAATTACTGCCACTGAATAGCATGCTTAAAAAAAATTTCAATGGCAAATCTTATATATATTTTACCATGATAATAAAAAATCTAGTAGATTTTGAAGTAAGGCATCTCTGTATATTCTTTCAGTAAACAGATTTTAGGGCGAAAAAAGGTCTGTGACTTCTGCCAGTTTGAAAACCCTTTTTCAGGTTG